AAGGACATCTCGTCCAGCTCCAGGAGAGCAGACAGTGAGTACACAAGTAGAGTACACAAGTCGTCGAGGTTGATACCTCCGTCGACGTCGCCCCGTCACTCCATTCACGAGTCTATAGAGCTGCTCGCTCTCGCGTGGAGCCTCACCGCTCGACACGCCCTTCTCGACTCGTGGGATCGCAGACGCCTTGCGTCTCGCAGCCAGCGCTTTGCGGCGCTGCCTCCTCTTCATGGACACCGTCCGCCCTGAAGAGCTCCGTGATCTCGCGTGCGTCTTGACGCCAGGTGTCACCACCTCGTTTGACTCCTGGGGTGCTCCTGTGTCTTTACCGACACTCAGCAAAGAGCTGCACGATCCGCAGCCACCACTCAGTGGATTACGTGCCACTCCACGATCTTCATCCGGGCAAAGCCCCATGTTCATGCCGACAGCGCCGTCGCTGGCACGCAGGAGGACGTCGCCCTCAGACGGACACCCGCTCAGCAGAATTAGCGCCGCTCCACATCCTTTAACAGCCGGGCCGCGACCATGGCTCCTCGGCCTCATGCCGACCTTGTCCTCACTTAAATACAGCGGGGCGTCGCCCTCAGACGCACACCCGCTCAGCGGAATTTGTGCCGTACCACCTGCCGTCCGCGAGCCACGCTCGGAACGCTCGTTCTCGACACACTCAGTGTCCACCAACTCGGAAACGCCGATGTCCAGCACATTGACCGACTCGGTCGAGTGCTCGCGCCAGAAGCGCTTCTGCTTCCTAGCAGAGGTGGGTTCATGACTCGCCAATGCTGCACCAGGAGAGAAATGCGTAGCACCAAGGGTCTCAATCCAAGGCTCATGGCGTTTCAGCCACGTCATACCAAGGATGAGATCATATCTCGAATCGAGGTCTAAGACCCGACAGCGTTCCACGCTATCAAAATCCGAAAACTTCACGCCCAGGTCCACAGGGATCTTAGGCACCGTGACACGAGTGCCCGTCGCGAGACGAACAGTGATGATGTCACTACCGCGCGCTATCAGTGCCTCAGCATAAAGCTGACTTCCCTCCATCGTAGAACGACGGGTGTAGTTACCCGACGCTCCCGAATCGATCAAAATCGTCCATGGCTTCGTGAAGCCCTTCACCCAAGCTTGGACAACTAGCAAGTCCGGCTTGCATACACGTTCCGTGTTAGAGAGTACGGCACTTTTCGGGGCATAGTCCTGTCGACCTCCACCTCGCCGAGGCTCAATAGAACTTCGTTCTTCCCCAGTAGGCCGCCCCGCGCCTACTGGGACTTCTCGTTTACCCGAGACAAACCAGAGCCCTGGCTCGAACGCGAAGAGCGGCTTGACAAAGCCTGGCGCTGATGGCGCAGCGAACACCCAGCACGAAGGTGACGGGTGTCGCCACAGATAAAGCATCTGCGGATACCGCGACGCTGCTCAGCAGCACGAAGCTCGGCTTCTTCGTCTTCAGCATAGCTGAGGTCAATAGATTCCGGACCACTCGACGCGCTAGCGTAAGACGTATTCCACCCAAGTCTGGACGACTTAAAGTTGTGCTCCGCATTCAATGCGACGCTCACAGCCTCTTCGAAAGAGCTCGGGTGGGTTCGGAACACATCCGTCCTGGCAACGCCAGTGCAGAGGCCCTCCATGAACACCCTAATGGTGACTGCCTCCGGCAGGGGGTCCGCAGACATATCAGCAATGAGAGTTCTCAACTCTTGGACATAGTCCATCAACTCCTTCTTGCTCTTCCTGGTCGCCAGAAAGCGTGGGCTCACGCGATCCGCCTCGTTAGGCGGAGCAAACACTCGGGACAATTGCTGTTTCAGCTGGTCCCACGTCGGGAAGGCCACCTCGACCGACGCCCCGGACGTTAGTGCCCACTCTCTCGCTCGCCCACCGAGCTTCGAGATAGCTAGTGCCACGCGCTGCGACTCCGTCCGGAGTAGAGCTGAGCTCATAGCCATCTCAACCTCACGGGTCCAAAGCATCAAGCTTTCACCCTCATTGCCATCGAAGGTCTTCACGCTCAACATGAGCGGCTTGGGTCTTGTTCCCGCGTCGGATGAAGCGGTCGTTTGGGGCGCCGCGGCCGTCGCCATCCTCTGCTGGAGGTGCTCTAGCAGAGCATTCTCGTAGCTTGAAAATGCCTCGAGACGCGCCGGGGCCTTGCTGCGCAAGTTCCGGCACGCCCTCTGGACCCAGCAAGAGCATAAACGTTTTAAGTGCATCCTGCTGGTTCGGGGACAAGTGGGCGAACTGCTCCATCCTCCACAGAGGGTCAGTATATACAGACTCAGGTGTCGGATTGACTACTAGTGCTACCAAGTGCAGCGGGACTGCCGTAGCTTTAGCGTCAGAGGAAGATGTAACAGACTCGCGGAGTCTCAGCTTAAGATAGCCCGTTCTAATACCAGAACGTACGAGTCCGTACTCCTTACGGACTCCAAGAGTCAACCCTTAACTCATAACTGTGTGAATCTCAAACTGAATGTATTTCCCTTTATTGCGGCAAAGCCGCCTACGGTGTAAATGTATCCGGATCACTATCTAGCATAGTGAACCCTAGTCATATGCATAATCAGTGGCTCTGAAGCCATATACTGATTCTCCTACTGATTTAGATTAGGCAGTGTATACCCACTTCGTAACCCTTCGGGTAACTCTCATGTAACCCCGTTACACGAGTCGTCGGTCAGGTAGGTAGAGCCCGTAAATCAAATATAAGAGCACCCTTAGCCACGAGCTACAGCTAGGATGCATTGTACACACGCGCTTTCACGCTTAACCCACTGTGGTCCCTCAGAAGGAAGGGTTCGAGGCCAATTGAGGCCTCGAACAGGGGCGCCGGGGCGAAGCCTCGGCTGGAAGTCAAATATACTGGGGGGCTACGCCACACACCCAGACAAACGTACAACTGTACAGGGAGGTCTCTAATACCTCAAACACTCGGCCACTACTCACTCTTGGCCTTTCCAGGGATTAACACTCGGTCAATGTACCTTATGCTCACCGGCAGACATACCCCGCGTCGGCCGAGCGTATCCAGACTACAGCTAAGCTAAGACTTACCGGTAGACGGACTTGACCCTTGTGTGGCTTCGGGGGGAAATACTGCTCTGATTTAGTGAATAGAAACTGTGAGGCCTTTGAGGCGAGGCGGGTGAACGCCTGACCGCCCAGGTGTTTAGCTTGGCGCGTCCCGTGTGTAGACTCCCGAATGGGGTGCACCCAGAACAAACCCTAGCCGGAGATAGTACACCTAGATGTACACTCCAACCGATGTGGCGTGTGTCCTTGTGAACAATCCCTGTGGGTTCGTTTGTTTTCGTAACCAGGGGTCTTCAACCGTGGATGAGTTGTCTTGATACTTGTAGGTTGCTAGGTAGCAGGGCAGAACGTAACCTTCCTGGACGTCGCCTCTGACACCCTTTAGACAACCAAACAATACAAACAGGTACAGAGTTATATACAAACAGGTAGCCCTTCATTATTAATTTGGACCGTGAAAGGGTCGGTCACTACTCCAGTCAACTCCAGCCGGACTCCGGGATACTGGTCAATCCCGGACGGCTTTGGCTCACGCGCACCACTCTCAAGTACTGAGGTAAACTAACACAATCAATTACCCCATATCACACAATAGCTCTTAAATCAATACTTCCCACCCGGGGCTACTCCAACCGAGGTGAAAAGGTAATCAGTAATATGAAATGCGGGGCCTTCCTGGTCTGGACGAGCTCAACTGCAACTAGGAAATGAAATGGGATGGATCAACCTCGGGTTGTCGCTCGGTACTCACCCCAACTTGGACTGGACTTTGTTGCGGGAGCTCGACCCAGATGTCACAGTTGCAGGGCCCTCACGAGTAGACTTAGCCGGTCCTCCGGGAATGCACGTCCGGTAGGCTGCTCCAACTCACTTGCGCAATCTTTGGCAAAACGAACTCTGTTTTATCTGTTATCTGTGGTCTCTCTCTGTCTGTCTGGCTATTCTGTCGATCTTTACATGCACTCCATCTTGACTTGTCTTCACTATGGTCTTGTCGTCGTAATCGTCCGCGGTCCCTCGTAGCATACTTCCAGCGAGTACAATTATCACTGGGTACGCAAGCGAAGTTCAATGTTCCACGGAATCCGAACAGATCTTGGCTGGTCGGAAACATCTTGGACCTTGTAAACTGGATCTTCACATCTGGGATGGTATCTTGGCATCTTGGTATCTCCATCCGGGATTCATGATTATCTCCAAACGAGATCACACTCCACTTAGGCTTCATATCCGGGATGTCTTGGAACGCTTCACGGTTTCTGGGTCTTCACTCGATCCGGTCGGGCTCTTGCGTTGAACAGGGCACCAAGAGCAGGCGGCCTCCAGTCGGAGGCACTTCTACGCTCCCTTGGGCTTTGCCTCTCGTTCGGTACTTGGTTCCAGCCGGGGTCCGCTCTTGGGGACATCTCCATCCGGGATCACCAATCCTTGTACACTGCCAACGCGAGTCCAGCCGGGATCCGCTTTTCCCATACGCCACGTGTCGCTGTCACCCTCGCCCATAGTGAGCCTCTGAGCCAACCAATCAAAGGCGCGGCTCGGGGAATCCTCGAAAATCTCCAATTCCATCGTGTCACCTTCCCTATAACTAATACCTAATGTCTATACAAATATCAAGTATCAACCGAGCCTTCGAGCCGGACCGACGACTCGACGACTCCTCGGCTAGGTCCGGATTCCTAATGAGAGGCAAATCTTGTACCCACTATGACTACTTGGAGGACTCATCGTATTATGACCCGCTGTGCCTGGTTACTAAATGGCTGCCCATCTGTCACTCTAGTGCGGGGAATGAGAATAACCAATCAGAGGGCTCGGCTGGCTGTCACTCGAAGGTTCCAGACCGTTAGGCCTCGGCGCGGGCTGTTCTTGGTCATTTTCCGATATTACAGCAGCCCTCACCGCGGCCCGACCCAGCCCAACTGGAGAGTGCTGTGGTGCACATCATCCCTACCTTCATGCCGCGCGCGCCGAATGCTCTGGACGAGGCGCAAGCTGCTGCCCTCCGCGCTGTCGGCTCTGATTCCTCGATAAGTCCATATCCTTGATGAAGTCTCTGTTCGTCATCGCGCAGCAGCTCCCATCGCTAACATTCTTCCTCTTGTCGTGAACAGCCGCCTGCTGCGCCACGCTCATCTGCTGGCGGGAGCGGCTCTTCCGCGCCTCCACCCGAGGTCTCGGCGTTTTCTCTCGAGGGCTCGGCGGTGCAATTTCCGCCTCTGCTTCGGCAAGCGTCTGTGGCTGCTCAAGCGCCCGGCGTTCCTGGCGCGTCTCCGTCACCAACTCTCGTTGCAGCTGGTGCTGGCGGGGCGTCGGGTGAGCGCCAGGACTCAGTCGAGGTCGATGCTGTCCGGGTTCCTGTCGACTCCGGTCTCTCCGAGCCTTCGATGTCGAGTCCTCGTGAGCGGTCGTCACCAACCCCCACGAAGCCGTTGGAAGGTGGACGTGGGGTGTCGGCTCGCTCAGAGGAAGGTGCTCCGTCTTCTCCCCCTCAGTCTCCGTCGAGTGTGCAGTCCGATGACTTAGTCGACCCTGTGTCTGGTCCAACACAGTTTTGCCGATCAACTTACACGGAAGCCCACGAGCCCGCTCCGCCCGAGCCCTCGTCGTCGGCTCCTGGTGACGACGCTGAGTCCTCGCCTCGCGCGCCGATCCCTTGGTCGCTTGAGGCAGCACTCGAGGGCCTGATCGAAGCAAACGTCACTCGCACCGTGCGCCGCTCCGAGTCTCAGTTGGAGTATCATCTGGACCAACGGTTGGCAGACCTCGGTCAGCTCATGATCGGGCTCGTCCGGTTCCCACTGCTGCGAGTCGACTACGACCTTGACCAGCGTTTGGCTGACGCCCGAAGTCTCAGCTATGTCGTCCGAGCTGCCTCGCCAGACGCCTTGCCGCGTCCCCTCGGCTGGGGTGAAGAGCTTGACGCCCTACGCCAGGAGGTCCGTCGTCTCGAAGTAGCCGGCTCGTAGTGAGCGCAGGCTCAACAACGGGAACGACATCCGTCTCCGCACGGAGCAGCTGTGTACCCAGGCGTCTGCTGAGCGAAGGTAGTTGGCTACTGTTGCCTAGGCTCTTCGCGATGAGCGGGACTCCATTAGCCGGCAACTCGCTACGGCCAACCGAGCTCTCGCGTAGAGCGTTAAGGTGATCGACCACCTGAAGGCCCAAGTTTCGAAGCGCGACTCTTCGCTGACGAGCCGTCACGCTGTCATCAAGAAGGACCGCCAGAGCTTTCGTGAAGGGCTGTCTCGCTACTCTGACACCCTGAAGAAGTTCCATGCGTATCTCCAGCAGTCGAACGATCAACGCTTCATCCTGGCGAACCTTGACCTAGGCGATGACTCGTTATTGCCTCCAGTACTCAAGGAGTTCCTCCGAGACTTCGCCGTCATGGATTTCGAGCTTTCGGCTGCGACGGCCCCGCTGAAGCGCCCGCGTGAGACTTCAGAACCAGCGGCTGTCCACCCATCTCCCAAGGCCAAGACCCAAGACCAGACGAGTCCTAACTCAGATCGAGACGAGGACTTCGGAGACGTCGGCCTATTCTCGGAGGGCTCGGACGATGACGGGCCTTTGGTGCCATCTTCGAAGCGTCGGAAGAAGCTGGTTGGGTCGACTCCTGCAACTGCCGCGCCGTCCACTATCCCTCGGAAGCCTGCTCCTTCGAATCTGAAGTCTCGGCTCGGGCGTCCCTCGAAGCCTCCTGTAAAGAGGAGTACGTCCGTGCTTCGGCGTCCTGCTGGTAGTCGGCCACTACGTCTTCCTGCCGCCTCGACCACGTCGGCGGAGCAGGCAACTGCTTCGAGCTGGACGCTCGCCTCATCGGCAGCCATCTCTGAGCTCGGCACCGAGGCGTCGGTTCCCCGCCCTCTGGTCGCGCCGTCGTCTCCGCATCGTTCGGACGCCTCCACCTCGTCGCTGCCCGGGTCGCGCCGGTTCGGTCGTCCAATTCGTCTGCAGTCTCTCAGACAAGGCACGGGGAGCAGAGGACGTCGTGAACTCTTCGGTGCTGAACTACGACTCTCCTTACGAGGCTTCGGTTGTTATGCAGTCTCGCAAGGATGGCCAGCCAGTGCGTTCTGCGTCAACTATGGCTTCTCTTCAGTCCAAGGTCGCGGTGGAGAGTGAGAACGCCCGTGACGACGTGGTCCTGGGTCTCGGCGAGCCGTCGGTTCGGCGGTGGATCTCACTCGCGAAGTGGGGAGCTCGGTATCGGTAGCGACTCCCACTGCTGCGTCTTCGCGTGGTGGATCGCGTCGTAACCCCAAGAAGGTGTCGGCTAAAGGGGCTAAGATTCAGCTCCGTCAGCGTTCACGAGCCCGGGCCCTTCCTGTTGCTCCAGACGTACCGGCTTCTCGTCCGAGGGTTGGGCCTGTGCAGCCGAGGGCTGGTCTCGTTCCAGTCCGTCAGACTACTGCTCAAGCGCGCCGTGCTGAGGCCTCATCTCGTCAGGCTGCGTCGACGGCTCGCCGCGACCAGGTTCTTCGCCGCGGTAACTATGACGGGTCACTCCTGTCGCCTCCGTTCGCGAGTCCTGGAGCAGAGGTGGGTTGGCGGGAGATCCTGGAAACTCGGACCGTCCCGCCTGTTCCAACGTCTGCCCAAGTCGAGTGTTCGGTTGAAGGGATCCAAGCTTTCAGCGACTGGACGAATCCTGATCACCCCTTCTGGCGATTTATTGAGAGTCTCCCCGCCGAGCCTTGCTTGTTCGACGTGACCGACTTCCTTCCTGACGTTCCTATCTCTATTTGTGCGACTGGAGTCGCGTTGCTCACGAAGCTGTGGCGTCAGTTTTGTTGTCGAGCGGTCGGTTCAACCGAGAGTCACGATCTGTCCTTTGCGTTGAACGAGCGTGCGCACTGGGTGTCTCCGGCGGCAGTAGAGCGATGGCTCGACCGTCTGTCTCGAAGACTCGGAGAGGATTCCGAAGAGTACCTAGCCATCCAGGAAGCGTGGCTCAAGTACTCGGGTTAGCGCAACGCTCGGTCCGATCGCCTCCGCATTCAGATCAAGCGCTGGTGGGCCCAACTGCTACCCGATGCGGATGGGAAATTCGACTACACTCCCGAGGTATTATTCGAGCCCTCGGTCCTGCACTACTGCCTCGAAACGCTCTCGTGGCTTCCGTCTTCGGCAGATTGGGTTGAGGCGGTCGTTGAAGCTGATGGCCACGAGCCTTGGCGTAACTGCTGGATTGCCGAGCACGCACCCCTACAACACCAAGTTCGTACCATGCAACCCTGGGGCGATGCTCTTCATTCCTCGCGGGTTCACTCTCCAGGAGGTGGCGTCCGCAGTTATCGTCAGCCCGATGCTCGACCGAAGCGAGGTCTCGGCTCCGTGGATCCGGGAGTACACCCACTACCACGGCGTTCCCGCTCCTGCTGAGAAACGTACCGATGAAAGCTCAGTTCAAGCAGCTCCGGAAGGCGCGAGGTAGCGGTGAATGACTCGCAGCCGGATAACTCTCCAAACTAGGCGCCGACTCTTCGTTCGCCCGAGCGCTCGGACGAAGCTGCTTCTCCTGAGTCGGGTCTCTTCCGGCTGGATCAGACAAGTCCGTGCTCAGCTCCGGCGACGAAGACAACCAGACCGGGGGCTCGGTTGAGGAGTCGACATCTCCGTCGGGTCTCCAGCGTCCGGCCGCTGGCTGTGGCCACCTCCAAGTGCTCGCTCACGCCGCTTCCGCGTCGAAGCCGTAGGCCCGTCTTCTCCTCTTCGCTTCTGCCCAGCCTGCACGTACACTCCCCGATGCAGTGTAGTGTTTCTCAGTCTGTAGGCGTGGTCGGATTTCTAATCTCAAATTCAAACAGCATCTCCATATCTCCACTGGAGTAGTTCGTAGGATCCATCCGAGAGTTCGTGCAATATGCATACATGTAGTAAAGGTTGCTGCAGTAGTTCTTTTCGTCTGTTGAGGCGGGCTGCATCACCCCGCCGGTAGTTCATCATGTTGCGCCAGTCGCATCTAGTCCTCGTCTGCGACTTGGACCATCTGCAAACGACGATCGCTGCGCTTAGCGCGCAAGTAATCGTACAGCATCCCTCCGCACGACAGGTTGGACGTGGCTCCCACGTGGGTTCATCATAACCAACCCATTTCACTTGGAACTCTCTGACCGCGCGTTCAGTGCCCGTCGAGAGCGGCGTCCGATCGTCCAGAATAGCCTCCACCTCGTACTCACCAGTGAAGTGGTCCGGTTCAAAGCTGTCTTCGGGTAGGAGTTCTTCATCGAAGTCTAGTCTCGTCCCATCCGTGACGTCAGTTACTAACCGAGCCTTCGGTCGGTCCCCATACGCGTTCATTTTCTTCAGTCGAGACACATGAACGACTGGGTAGAATCTATACCCACTCCGGTCTGGTAGAGCCAGCTCATACGCGTACTCGTCCACCTTCTTCTTGATTCGGAAGGAGCCATGCCAGCGATGTGCCCAGTTCTTCGTTAGCCCCGGTTTCACACGCTCCATGTAGAGCCAGACACGATCACCCTGCTCGAAGAGCGACTTCGAGGTTTCGGCCGACGAGTCATCGGTCGGGTTCGTCGTTTCAGTGTCTTCACCTGAAGGTTCGGTTCGGTCAGACGTCGGCAGAGATTCTCGTTCGCGTCGACTCAGGGTCTCGTTATACTTCTCGGCTCGTTTGGCCTTCTCTGTCGCCTGGTACGCTTTGGCCATCTCCAACGCGATCTCCTGTTGCCGATTGACTTCTCGTCTCCAAGCCAAGGCGTCGGTTTGGCGACGCGGCCTCGTTTCAGTGACGAAGACATAGCTCGAAGTGTCGTCCGCGCATCCCAGCCGTATACAAGGTAACGGCGTGTCCTTGCGCGTGGCGTCCTGCAAGTTGTTGATAGCAAAGATCAGCTTCTCCACGATCTCATCCCAGTCCTGTGCAGCGGGTC